TTAATTTAAATTTTAACTTTTAACTTTTAACTTTTAACTTTTTGATTTAACTTTAACTTTTAACTTTAACTTTTAACTTTAACTTTTTAATTTAACTTTAACTTTAACTTTTAATTCAAATTTAAGTTTTTATTCTTATAGTCAATTAATAGTAATAACTTAGTTAATTATTTTTACTATATTTTTATAATAAATTTTATTTAATATTTTAATTTAATGTCAGTAACCATTGCTTGAAAGGAGTTAATTTGAATTGAACTACAAATATCCACATTTAAATTAACTCAACAATTTTACAATTGGGAGTCCCTCCATTCCAACCCATGAACCTATTGTGTGGCATCAATTTAATGAGTGGTGAATTTGTGGCTCACACCAAGCAATTGCATCTTTGAGCAATAAAATCAACATTAATTATTGATTCAACCTTTGTCAAAAAAATTCAATCAAGTATGTCTTTTGATTTTCTTGTTTATGATATTAAGAATACTTCTTTTAAGTCTCATGATACTTCCAAGTTCAAATTTAAGAACAACCTATTTTATTTCAAATGTTGTCTATATGTTCTAGAAATAGAAGCATGGTTATGTATTTTTTAAGTTTGTCACAACTTTCCAACAAGGCCATTTTGGATACAATAAGACTTTAGAGCTAATATTTAGAGATTTTTAGTAGCTCCATTGTAGAAGGCTATGAAAGACTTTGTATAGTCATGTGACATTTGCTTAACATCAAAAACTCCTCATCATCTATCTTATGGACTTCTCTAATGATTATCTATACTAGAATAATTATGGACTTCTATTTTTATAGATTTTACTATGGATCTTTTAAGTTCAAATTCATATGACTCTACATTTGTGATCGTAGATTATTTCACTAAAAATATATATTTCATATCATGTATAAAATTTATTTTAGGTAAAGAAATAGCTAAGATTTTTTTTAACAATATTTATCACTATCATGGATTGCCAAAGGATATTATATCAAATAGAGACACATAATTTTTATTAAGATTTTAGTAAAAAAAAAATAATAATATTGAAGGTAGATATAAAATTATCTTTGGTCTTTCATCCTAAAATTAATGGACAAACAAAATGGATGAATCAAATTTTGGAGCAATATTTGAAGTATACTATCAACTATCATTAAGCTGATTAGACAACTCTTTTGTCATTGGTAGAATTTACATATAATAATTTGATATATTTTTTTATTCAACAAACACCTTTTTTTTTTAATTATGGTTATCCTCTATAACTTCATACTTTTGAATTTTCAAAAGTTAATAATCTTATAGCAGAAGATTTTAAAAATTATTTAACAAAGATCCACGCAATAATGAAGGTGCTAGTAAAAGAGGCTCAAAAACAACAAAAAATCAACATGGATGCCTATTACAAGGAATAATCATAATTCAACGTGGGTGACAAGGTATAATTACTTTGTTTTAATATTAAGACTATTCGTCTTTTTGACACATTTAATTATTATAGGCTTAGACCTTTTCCTATTTGTAAATAAATCAATCCAATTGCTTATCAATTATACCTATTGAAATCAGTGGAGATCCATTTCATATTCTACATATTTTTTTTAAGCCATACAATATAATTAATATACTAGGAAGACAATAAGTATGACTTCTTCTCATAGAAGTAGAAAATAATAAAGAATTTGAGATTGAAGAAGTTTTAGACTCAAGGGGGCATCAAAATAGGTTAGAATATCTTATACATTAGTGGAGATACGATATTAGTAAACACACATAGAAGTTAGCTAAGAATCTTATAAACATAGCAAAGAAGGTTGATGCTTTTAATTGATGATATCTATCAAAACCAAAATAAAGAAAAAAAAAAATTCTTATTATAATAAAAATAAGAATTGATAAGAATTACATTTTATCTTCTATCATAATCTTTGGTTTTTGTATATTCTTGACATTAACAATGGAATATCAACAATTGGCAAATACAACTCAAAAGCTATTATTTGTTGATCTATTAGATAAGATACTACAATTGTGACAACCTTCTAAACAACAATATAGAGATGAAGATCTTCAAAATTGACATGTTCTTCTTTAAAAAAATAGCGAGATAAAAAATGTTTGATATCATGTCCTTGGAAGAGACTCAAGTTATTTAGTGATATTATTAGAGATGAAAACCATCTCTAATAGTATTTCAAATATTTTATTTGAAGAAACCTATGAAGGCCTCAACAATGATCAAATGTTAGGATGGTCTTTCTACTCTGGTATGAAATATTATCAATGATTGAGAAGACCTTTCAACTACCTTCAAAAAAAACAAAGATCAAAATATGTAGCAAATACAATTTGTTACATTGTGAATTTTTCCAACATGTGATTATTACTCCTCGTGGAACTCATACCTAGAAGAGGAGATAATATTCCATTTATAGATATTTACATAGATAAGAAGTATTAGAAAGTTAATAAATGTAAGTAGATTTGATGATATTTTGTTGTAAAGCTTCTTAGAAGCTTTATAGATGCATATTTGATTTTAAAAGTATTTATAATTGATTGATAGGTTAGAAACTTATAATAGATATTTTTATATTATTACAAATATTTTTATATTAAAGCAAATATAGTAGATATCTTTATATTATAGTAGATATAAGAGATATCTTTATATTATAGTAGATATAAGAGATATCTTTATATTATAGTATATACCTTTGTAGCAAATATCTTTATATTGATGTTTTTTATGAATGAATGAATTTTAATAAAATAAAATAAATTAAATTAAGAATTAAGAAAAGGGATTTTTTGAACATACATTTGTGAGTAGTTTACGATTGTAGGTGTGGTTTAATAGTAGGAGTTGATTGTCTATTTAGAGAATTTAAAAAGAGTAAAAAGTGAATTAATTAAGATTTAAATAATAGCTAAAATCTTTAAGATTTTCATAATTAATTTACTATTTGTGAACTAGAATAAACTTCCAATTAGTGGAGGTTTATTTTAGCTTACACAATTGATAGATGAAATTTTGGAAAATATTATTTGTAAAAAGAAGGCGTGTATGCAAACAAATAAACAAATAGATAGGCAACACATAAAAGCAAGAGTATTCATTATAAACTGCAAAAAGAAGTGAAGAATTTGATTGTTATCACTAAAGCAGGGGCACCCCAAGACCAACACTGTATTTATATACCTTTGATATTTATTTTATATGCAGTAGAACATATGTCATAAAGAATTCCAGACTTAGGTATATATCCTTCAATCTTACCAAATCCATTATAAATATAAGTCTAGGCATGTGAGGTATTCAAATGACATTCATGGATCGACACTCCTGAAGCATCCAGATTGATACAAGCCACGTTCATTGTAAACGTTATTCATCCACAAAAGAAAATAAAAATTGATTCCCAAATATCCACAAAGTTCCAAATTTTGAGCTGGTTTTAACTTCATCAAAGTGTATGGCTCAACACCACGAGGGGTGTCACCGATCCACCAATTTGACGCTCTACTGAGCGACCCTAAGCAGCGCATTGAAACTCAAACTTGACATGAGAAAGAGAAAGAGCTTATTCATGACAAATACAACCGATTGGTAAAAGGTTACTGTCTACCTTGATCCGCTTTGAATGGTACTAAGGAACTGGGAAGATAGCATTTGCTACCATTGCTAGTCTGTGTTAAATGTGACGACTGCTGGTACAGAGGAGCTAAATTATGTAGCTGTGCTTTCAAATCTTCCATGGGGATATTCTAGCGGGCGGCTGAGCGACCAATGATCCTCCGTTTGAGATTGTGGAAGAAGCTCCTCAATGACAAGTCGCTTCTGATAGTGAACCAAAAGCAGCCTCCTGTGAACTGCGCTCGAATGGCGTCGCTGAGCGGCAAGCGTCTTCCCGGCCACGCCTAATGCCCAGAATCCTCACGTGTGCGTGGTCTGGTCCAGTAACAGTTGCTTTGCTTCTTCCACCATCCCGTCTCCTCCAAACATCGTCTCCCTGTCCACACCGCAAGGCCTATCAGTAGAGGCTTCTAGCGAAGTAATAATCTGGGTGGAAGTCAACAGGATGGCATCCGCTTCACTTGTGATAGACAATATCACAGCCATCACATCGTCTGAGTTGATGCACCCGTATCGAAACGTGTCAAGTGCTTGTTTGGTGGTTCGAGCCAAATTCTGCCGCTAAAACTCGATGCGAAGCTCCTCTTGCTGTTTATTGTTTTCCATGCACCGGTCGAGCAGCTTAGTCACATCTGCAGAAGCCGCAATGGACACTGACAACCGTACAACTGGAGTTGTGAACAGAATCTCGCGCAGCACCTCCATCTCCTTCACCAATCTCGTGGAATTAGAAATTTGAGAAATAGTGATCCGGCTTCACTTGCTGCTGCTGATCTCTTGCAACATGGACAGCAAGCATTCTAAACTCATGTTCAAACACTGTAGCCAAGCTTCCCCCGCAATTGGAGCGGTGGACAAATCAATGCTATCAAAAGCGATGATGACTCAAATCTGCGTTTCTAAGGTCGATCAAATGAGTATTTGGAAGGTGAATTGTACATGAACAGAATATCGAAGGCGAGCTTGCGAGACCAAACAGGCCCCTGCAACAGCGAAGTGGAGGCTGGCTCGGGCAGGTTTACTGCCGACTCGCAGCAGATATCCTCTTTACAACACAGACCTCAAGAGATCTTCATACGTGCTTCCACCAGAGCCTGTCCATTTTGAAGTTATAGACTCATGCCTTGGTGTCAAATGACTGCGAAATCTCATGGATGATGGTGGTTCTGAGTTATAAGTTGGTTTTGCGGTTAGGTGATGGTTTTTAAGGTGCCCTGCTGGTGATGGAAGGATTGGTGAGAACGTGTATCGCGACGACAAATCGTAAAATGAATGCCAAGGGACTACTCAACACAACAGTCATACTTACTACATTACATCCATGCATCAGATTCATAACCACGACCACTGGACTCAGATGACTGTTCATGAAAAAAAAATTGGGTTCTTTTAAATTTTGCATTCCTCAAAATAGAGTTCTCAAATTTGAGTAGCCAGAACAATAACACAAGTATTTTCTGTAAGCCTAGGGTTTGTAAGAATAAGTACTATCTGGGGTTATGTACAAGTACACGTGTAATTCGCATCAGCTCATCCGCTTCGCAGAGCTGCAAGCCTAGCCTCCAAGTCCACTGCATCGATACCAGAACTGCAAGAACACATTAGACGAGTCCGAAGTGCTTAATGTCCTTAGTACTGATTGCTTTTAGCTATGCAGGACATGATTGAGGAGAAATCAATAGATTACTCTATGCAAAATATTCTAGCGATCACTCACCACAGTACTGTTGGACGTTGAATTGCAACATACCTGCTGGCGTTTTGGGTCCTGGCTTTGCCTGCGCCAAGCTTCCCTTTGGGTGTAAAACTCATCTGCATAAAATCATTACGAGCAACATTTAGACATGAAGTGACAGAATATGGGAGCTGATAACGAAGTAAAAAGGATCAGGTAAAAGAAATTAAAATGTGTGTTCAAAATTCTAACCTGAGTAGCAATGTCGGCACCGATTTCGTCGAGGACCTGCAGTACAATAAATTATTACATGAGTATAAGCACAACAGAGGAAAACCGAAAAAACAAAAAAAAACAAAAAACACGGGAATCAAAACAATTCAAATGAATGGGGAAGGTGATGACAAGTACTGAAAGCAAGTGTAAGCAATGAAGTGCTAAATAAAGATACCTGGGCGGTGAGCTCTTCTGTCTCTTCCTCAGCCTCATCACCGTCTAATGCATCGTCGATTGAATCGGACATCATCTCCGTCTGTGAGAAAAAATTGACCATGAGAACAGGCCGTCCACGCTATCGGAAATTGCATAGGATAAACATGTATCACTGCTCAATTGACAATCGCCGAGGGATATTGAACCAGGTCACTTACAGTCATATCCATCTGTGCTGATTGACGCTGGAATTCTTGCATGATCTTGGCCGTCTTAGCTGGCTCCATTTGCTGTTAAAATCGCCACATTCGAAACATACTCTTTCAGATATCACATCAATTATCCAGAAGAATTGTACTGTACTAGTTATAAGTTGGAATAGGATAAATATGAAAACGCAAAGAGGAGGCCAAGAATAACTCCGATGAGAAAATCTACTAATAAAAAAACCATCATAGAGTAGACGAAATGGTTAACTTTTTGGACAAGGACCGAAGCTTAAGAGAAATAGTCCTTTAATCATCCGGAGCAATCAGCATCTTAAGAAGCATACCTTGTTCATGGAGGCCATTGCTTTAGTAGCACCTTTCATAGCACCTGCCACTGCTGTGTTTGCATGCATGGCCTGATGATCCACAAACACAATAACTGTTGTAAACGATCCGCGGGCTTAAATCAAAGTTCCAATTATTCGACTGGCAAACTCAAGCAACAAAATTCGCGATTCTTCCTGTTACCTGTGTATGCGTAGCAACCCCACGCATTTGAGACCTGCTCTCTTGTAGCTTCGTAATTTGCTGTCGTAGCCGGATAAGCTGCCGTGCTAAGATCTTGGTTGCTGCCTGCTCAGTGCAACAAATACGACTGTTTAACATTGACGTCTTCTGCATGCAATGTAGATTTGGGAAGGTATTCGAACAGAGTCAAAGGAACGAGGTCTACAACTTCTCCATTAGCATCTTTTCGACCTCTAAGCTCTGATACTGACAGGAGAAAGAAATATTCATAACGACTCAAAGTAAACTTTAGTGTTGTGCAGTCAGCAGCACACATGAGATTTACAAGTGTTACCAGCAAGTAGTGCTTGTTATCTTCCGCAATATGAGGGCAATGATAGCAACCAGAACAGTCATGTGATGAGTGAACACGCATTTGAAAAAGAAGACCACAATCATGAAGAATTAACTCACATCATTTCCTGCTTTAGCTGTCTTCTTTATCTCTGCCACTAGCTTCTTTTCCTGTATACACCACACAAACATAATGGGGGTGTTCGAGTTTGACGTTAAATCCTAAATTAGAATACCAATAAGGTGGTGTTCCTCTCTACGACGATGTAGCTGAGCAGGAGTGCGTGCTACTTCGTCCTTGTTGAATCCTACAGAGATCTAATCGAAATCTTTACCTTCACAGTTCCTGTCAGAAAATGAGCGCTAGTCCGACAAAGACAATGGTGGAATGGCTTAGGATTATTTACTAGTGTCTATGAGGAAACTACATGTTCTGAACCATGAAAATACATGAGGAGAATGAAACAGGTTTGAAACCTTGAGCCGCACAAACCAAAACTACAAAGAAAATGTTCGCCTTCACAATTATAATGGTCCCCAACTATTGACAATCTCAAGTTCAGTAAAGACGGAGACGTACCTCTATTTGTAATGAATTGATTTCTCTCTCGATCCCTGCGCGATCATGCATTCAAACCCCATGCCATCCCACTTAAGCTACTCAACTGTTGGAAACACATTTCCGACACAATTCCAAATTGTAATCTCATATGACCTTGCAGTAACACACCCTTGAAATGAAGTAATACAGAGAGGAGAAAAAATATCTCGAATTCATTTACTTTGAAAAGAGCGCAATATGAAAAATATCAAGTGAACCAGGGGAAACTCTAGATACAGACTACATTCATTTAGAGGAGGTACATCCCTCGAACTATCATGCATGGTACAACTGGCTACTCGAAGAACCGGTGTTCACAAAGATGCGAAAAGGTTGCGACTAATTATGCCTGTCAAGTATCTACCTAGAAAAGAGATTACGAATCCATTCCTAACATTACCGGTAAATTCGTATTAATATGGTAACCCCGTGACTCACCTCTGGTGGCGTTGGACATCTCCCGCTTACTCGCTCTCAGCACCTCTGCAACCAACACTAGACGAGCTCAGCTCCAAGTACTGCCCAATCTAACAGTGATAATTATTGGCCCTTTTGCTCTACGACGAAACAACAACAACCTCTGCTGAGCATGACGTTTGATTACCAATTCGGCAAGGGGATTCCCGCTATTTTCAAATTCATAACACTTCCTCAAATCGACAGCGACGCAAACATACTGCGCTACCCGGAGAAATACTCTGGCAGGGCAAACGGAATCCATCAGTCACTACGTCAACGCCTGAGTGCAGTACCCTGCAATTCACTAAAACTACAATCGAAAAATGCCTCAGCTCATCGCAAGCACCTTCTTCTACTCGACGGGAAGGTAAACGTAACCACATTCTCCACTTCATCTCGACGGAAACCCTTCACCAATTGACAACCATTGCCATACCTCACCTTAAACTAATTCCCCCCTCACCATTGTATCCACCACAATTAAAATGCTGTGTGCCACAAACCTTTCGCATCCGGCTTCTTCTTGAACAGATTCATGGTCACGGCACTACCGCAATCCTCCTCCTCCTCCTCCTCCTCAAAGTAGTTCGATTAGTTCACCACCCGACTCACCACTGCTTCCGACAATACACACTCCACTACCAATACCGAGAACGGCACAAAGCTTCCAAGCAGCTCTCTCTCTCTCTCTCTCTCTCTCTCGCTCGCTCTATCATGACAATGCGATTCCATGGTGGAGATGTAACAGACACCGCAACGACGTCGTGACCGACGCAACGTTCCTCGACGAAGAAGAAGAAGAATTCAAATCGCGGCATGGCGGGAACTCGTAAAGCGGCCATGGTCGTTCTCCACGAAGAGCCAAAGGTGGGGTGGGGTCCATGGTCTCTCTCTCTACAAGGGAGACGACGACGAAAGATGCCTTAACGGCAAAAACCCGGGAGCCACGCTGGCACTTCCTATCCACTCCCTCGTCTTCCCATTGGCCTGCTCCCCTCTCTTCTTTCCACGTCGGATCCCAGTATGTCTAGCCACCCACGTTTTGACACGTGTACTAATTGAGTGGGATATATTGGTCCGAGTCGCTGTTGTGGCATTGATTCGTTTATCGTTTATTCGTTTAGTCAGCATGAAGTTTTTATTTATTTCATTTAATTACTTAATTAATTTTCAACTATGGTTGTTTTTATTTTAGTAACACTGGTTTTAGTGTGGAAATTGAAGGACGTGTTGTATTTTAAATTGTGTATGTGTTGCCTTGTGGGATATATACTTTATGAGTTTTTCCTTTTCTCTTCTTTATCTGTGTTTATTAGTTTTTTCTCCTTTATTTTAATTTTTTGTTTTGTGACTTTGTGCACATGGTTTTCTGCTTAAATTTTTGTTGCGAGTGTGTACAGTTTACTGTGTGTGTATATATATATATATATCATGATACAATCTTTGTTTTCTATTTAACTATTGGATGTGACTTGTTTATGTGTGTGCAATTTTTTTAAAACTTTGGATTCATTCTTTTATTCTTTAAGGGCAACAAAACAAAACAAAAAATACTATTTTAAATATGAAAGATATGGATATTGTAATAAATGAAAGTAAGTCTAATATATAATTTGTAATTATATATTTGATTATAGTGTTAAATTATCAACTATCAATGTTGTAATAATTATTTATAAATTTTGCAAAATTACAATGAAGATCAATGGTCTTGAATAAAACATATTTATGTAATATGCTGTTTTTAAAAATTTGTATAACATGGGTCATGACTCATTAGATATAGAAAATAAATAAATAAATAAATAAATAAATAAAATCATAATTAATTACTATGATCTTTTTTATTCATCTAATGAGTCTTGATGACATCCCTATAGGTTCTTAGCAACTTCTATGACATATTTGAAAAACAATTGAGCAACTCATTCAAAGTAGAGTTGCCTAGAATCTATTTTTTTTTTTAAATGTCACAACCCCAAAACCAATAAGAGTTCTTAAAATCCAATTGGTAGAGAATAAAAGAGGATTTTGTTTCAAAACCAATTCTTTGTTTTTCTTAGCATCTAAGTGTAATGGTGGATCTTTACCAATATCTCTTCGATTGTTATTATAATAAGATCATTCAAAATATTTTTCACATTAATGTATTCATGGCAGCAGACAAATACACGACATAGGTCTTAAGTACATTATGACTAAATGTAACATTTGATTGTGTCATGGGTTAATGGTGATGTGTTATTTCTACCTTGAAAACGTACCGAATAGTTGACAAAACATAATGCTGTTCTTCTAACGTGGTCTTCGAGTAATAAGGTGCTAATGTTAAGTAATTAAGGATGAAAAGGAAAATATTTACTTCTTCAAATCTACAACACGATATTTGATTTAACACCAAACTTAATAGCCTCGTGATGAACTAAGAGTCACACCACCATATTTTCTTCCTGGATATTCGAGTGGTTTTAAACATGCTTGGGTCAAAAAGTGGCTGCAAATGGGTGTGCCCACATTTTAGTCCCATTTGAAGCCAAAATTTAATGGCGTTCAGCAGTACTAAGAAGAATGAGTAGCAATGAAAAAAGATGGGAAAGTGGTCCTTTCTGAATAGTTACTGACATTGCAGCTATCATGGGAGAGAAATGGGATTCCCCCACTTGGCAACTTGACCACATTGAGTAACAAAACCTTATTGCACTAAAAGGATGGCCACCACACTTGACCATCAAATCACCAAAAAGGTGTCAGAGGAGTAGAGAAACAACTCGTCATTAATTAGTAACCACAGCTCAAACAAGACAAAAACATCGATCTGGTTGCAATAGTCACATCTGATACTCGACGCAATAATGTTCATGAGCAGAAGTGTACATTTTTCACAACGTACGTTGATTTGTTTTTGACTGTATAGTGTTACAAAATAATGGTTCGCAATGGTACAAAATAAACATTAGTAATATGTGGAGGGAGCCTGGTCGTGGGTAGAAGAGAAGGGCTCCTCGAGACCCCAAACTATATAATATTTAACTCCATCCACTGTCTTTGAGGAATAATACTCCAGTGTAGAAAAGAAACCAATCAGTATCGGTAAGTAGGAAGCTACACTGATGTAGACCTAGAAGTGGAAAGCTGACCAACCATATATGGTTGTGTTCAATGAAGTATAGGACCTCACTTGTACTGAAACGTCGCAATGGGCAAAGACAGCATGTTAGAACTTGCGAAGCTTGAATTGAACTCACGGCAGTCGATCTTGTAAGCTGATACTGCCCTATGAGAGAAGTGTAGTCCCTTCGAGGTAACATAATTATCACGAAGTCGATCCGAGCTTTCAATGCAAGCTTCAAAAGATATTGCAAGGTCGATCTTTGTAATTATTCGTCCATAACATCAAAGTGGCTTAGCCCTCTTACAAGACTTCTCGACGGTAGCTGAGGCCCTGCGAAGAAGTTTCGACTCCGCGTCTGATACAATGACATCACTGCACATTGATCTAGCAAGCTTGGAACAGCTACGTAATAGGCTTATTGGCTGGTTAGTCTTGTGTTCAAACCGAGATTCTTGAGCAACAGAATCATTATCCGCATCCTGAATAGTTTGTGGCAGTGTGCTCGATAGTGCCATTGTGGCAACCACTACCGGTTCATCGAGAAGAAGGCTTCGAACACGTGTTGCTGCCCTGGTATTGATCGGAGGAAATATTGTCGTGGTCGTAAGTCCTATGTCCTCGCAATTGCAGCCTGAAAGCCCTGATGGGTGCACCGAAGGCCCTGGAGAGGACTGATCACCACCTTCTTCCAATCCCTCTGGGACAACCCCTTTCTCTACACCTTCTTCAGGTGCTACTGTAGACGAAGCAGGCCTGATGGGAGACTGAGATCTCATTTGAAGGGAGCGTAAAAGAGCTGCTCTTCTCAGGTCGGCAGATTGGCAAGGGTCACTGGGGGAGGGAGGCAAGCGGCCCTCCGCATCTGTTCCTTTCGCACGAGCTTGAGAGCAAGGCAAAGGGAGTGAAGGAGTGTAAGGAGGGGGAGTCTGTTGGCGAGAAGACAGCGTGCCACTATAGTTTGGAATGTAAGGGGGTAAGTGCTCTTTCCGACGCGGAGACACAGGGCTAGTCGGAGCCACAGATAACGATTCAACGGTAGAGACAGGAGTGCAAGTGGGGTTCTCTACTGCACGACCCATTCGAAAACCAACACTCTCATCACTGTCATCAGACATAGGAGAGTCTAACGTTGATAGGTCGTCCCTGCGCATAATGAACTGTAAGAGTATGTTCCTATACGCACGGAGGTTACTCGAGAACTGGCAATGGAATTTGCATGTATGAGCAAATATGGACTTACTGCCTATCTGATGACCAAAATGTTTAGGATTCAACGAATTGGAAACGAAAAATTATCTACTTCTTGAAAGGAAAGGAGAAACCGGTTAATCTCGGGTGTATGCGAACGGTTCTTCTCAATACAAGAGGGAGGACTCATAATCGCTGCTGCATTACTAAGTCTCTGACGTTTAGTGGTTTCGGAAACTTGGGAATGCTCATGCTTGATTGGAGACAGAAAATTGCAACTCCATTACTCACATCTATAATTCTTTGAAACCCAAAGCGAATTTCCTCATCCATTAGAGCACCTCTGACTTTTATAACACCGCAAGGATCAACGGATGAGGTTGGTGGGGCGTACCCATGACTAGTTGGAAACGAAGATGCAGATCGAGAAAGCCCTCCAGTCTCCGTGTGGGCAGGGGACACCATGTTGTCAATCAAGGGTGGAGACGATCGTTGTGACTGAGAGGTCGATTCACCCACTCGCAGTCCATTTAAACTTGATGCCATCACCTGGAAGTATAAGCAAGGATGTCACCTCAATGCAGCATAATCATTGTTAAGGGATAAAATGCCCTAAATGAAAGACAATGTTTTACATAGAGCAAATGTTTATTGTCCGTGAGACCTCTGCTGAGCCAAAAGGGAAGGCACCTCGAGAGCTCACAGAAGTCTATCAAATTGGTACAGTTAAAGAGGAGAGGCTCGACCTCAGTGAGATAGCGTTTATGGTTGTGGAAATTGTCAAAATATGCTTCATCGTCAGCTGGCCGAGACCGTTTCCCGCCGATCAAAACACCGGAGTCCCGGCCCATTATGATCTGTTCCGGTTACAGTGTGCGCACCGAGAAACTGCAACTCCACTCGACCTGAAAATCAGAAGATTATCAATGCAGAACTTGTATAGTAGAATTATCATTTAAAAGGCTCCAAATGCAAGTAGGGCAGGAAAAGTTCACACAACAGATGTGACAGCGTATTATTGCAATCTGAAATAGAATCGAACGGACCTAAATGATCACACCCTTCGAGGCTTCATCTCTGCAGCTTCCAGTATGTTCCCGTACTCAAACAGCTTAACTCCTCCAATGTTGTGTCAATTGCGATAATTTTAGCACAGGTGAGAAGACTCCAACAGTTCTATTCTCGATGATTAGGAGGCTCTTAAGGGATACAGTTAATAACACAAAAACCATGAAATACTCGATTTCGACGGGCCTTATTCCACCCACAACCCCACTAAAAGTAGAGTTCATATTAAAGAATGGCAACCTTCTACATGAAAAAATTCATCTGCACAATTCATGAGGAATTTATGGGTAGATTGATTCGGTGATGGGTGGTAGAAGACACGACAGTAGCAAGACTCTCCCAACAAAGCTCAAAGTAGCGCGGACACTTCGAGACATCTCCTCATACCACTCTTCTGTAGTTTATCACTCAGATTGTCATTCTTGCCATCGACATAGGACGATGTGGTTATGATCTTGAATTCTACATGTACAGAAAGCATTGCGAAAGACTTGGAACTCTAGACAGATGATCAATCACGTTTGCTCAATATCAGCACCGAGCCAACAAAACCACATCCTACAGTTTTCCGTTGCAACGATATGATAGGGAAGCTCAATTCACTTTACATACCTGAGCACCACTGACTATGAACAGAGCAAAGATCTTACATAGATAAAACGGCTAACCCAGGAAAGAACACACCCTGAAAAAAGCTACCACGAAATGGCCCAACTACACCTTCACCAGAAAAAAATAACGAAAAAAAAAAAAAAAAAAAAAAAAAAAAAAAAGGATTGAGTAATGTATTCACGAGTCAGGTCACATACGCGGATAGGATCTAGACAAGAGATACAACAATGAACTAGGAAGAAGAGGAAAAACGAAAAAACAAAAACAAAAACCCAGTTTCTATGATACTTCCCCAACCAAAACCTCAGTTACAGGTACTGATCGGCAAATCTTGACACTCCTATAAGCCACATTCCACAGGCTCCCCAACAACAGGGCCACCAGCAACGCTACCCATGAAACGAAGCGCAACAATCTCCCCACCTCCACGAAGAAACACCCCGAGCTCCCGAGACACACAACAACACGACGAGGCACCAAAAACGAATCCGAACCCAGTTGCACACAAAGCACAACGGAGGGGAATCCTCTTGATAGAACCCACACAGTGCCCGGAGTCGCGCGATTCGGAGGGGCAAGGGCAAGGGGAAGGGGAAGGGAACGTGCCGCCCGCCATAGCCAGCGAGCAACGGACTTCTCCGCACGGGCTACACCCAGTTACCGCTCCCAGCCGGTCACTCCCTTACCACCCACCTATTCTTGGCGGCGTGACACTCGAGGCCCTAGGGTGGTGGGGATTTTATTATTTAAGCTCTTTGTCTCATTCGCCGTGACTGCGCCGCGGATTTGTAGCAATTCCCCTCGACAGGCGGAGCCCAGGGGGGCGGTAGTTGTGGATATGGAATGATGGAGTAAGCAGTGTTTGTGGCGAGGCTTGCTTTCCGAGCGATTCCTAGCGATGCACGCGTAGAGTAGGCAGTAGAGGTATAGCCGCGGTAGGAGCCATCTGTGAATTACTGTAGACGATACAGCTGCTGCTGCTTTTGCGACTGCTAATGAATCGTATTGAATGCGGGTCGCGTTCCGTAAGCGAAGTGATTTCTGGTCATGGCAGAGCGAGGAGCTCTTTAGATGCTATTACTAGTTAGGCACTTGTCCAGGATCATCGTGTGGGCTGTGAGGCTCGAAATTGCTCGTGAACAGAGCAATTTTCCGATGAGAAAAAGGTGTCCCTCTGTCTCGCTCTCTCTCCCTTCACGACGCTCGAGTCTCTGTTTGCTTTTTTCCTGTGGATTTGTTAGGAACAGGCTTTTCTGCTGCAATAAGCGCGTCGCACCAAAGCGCAGTCTCCGACATTATTGTTTGATCCTGGCAGATCCGACCAGCCTTGATGTGGAGTTTAGGATTAGGGTTTCGGTGGTGTATGAAGAATCAGCAATGTCGTGGAACTTGTGATGTTATGCCCTCTTCCTAGTTTACAAAATGGCTGCAAGGATCTATCTCTTGAGATAGATTTGTCACTTGACTAGAGAACAAGAGTGAGTTGAAATACATTGTTTATTGATTGCTTTTTTGTTTATTAAAAACAACACATCACATGACAGTTTGTGGAGCAAGAAAGGCATTTGCTACAATTGTTCATGCTCTAATGCAAATGGATTGTCAATTTTGTGGATGCAAGGGTTAGAAAAGGATAGATAGTTATGTCCCATCTTGAACCATGCCTAGCTAATATAAATAAATAAATAAATATATATATATATATATATGTATGTATTATTGAATTGAAATTTTAGATTTAAGATTAAAATATATATTGAATTAAGTATTATCTTTATATATATATATATATATTATTAAAATAAAAATAAAAATAATTTTTTATTAGATTATTATATTAATATATTTATAAGTATTATAATTTTTGATAATATTTTTTTCAAAATTCTAGTGATAATGAATATTAAAAATTTATATTAATTTATTTATGCATGTAAATAAAAATACTAGTTATTGTCATAAATACATATGTTTAGTATTAAGATAAATTATAAAAATGTAATATTAGTATTTTTTATAACATATAATATAATATTATAAAAATTATAAAATGTTAAAGTAATCCAACTTTTTACTAAATCAATCCATTGTCTCAATTTTCTTCATTTCCAATCCCTTGTCCATTGTCTCGACCTCTTTGTCTCTGTTCTTCATGTCTGTCTTTTATCAATAAGCCTTTTACAAGGCAACCTAAGAAAGTTGAACTTGATTCCATCATTTAAGCCTCGAAGTTTAGCTTATGGAACCTTGCAAGACAATGGATAATATTAATAAATCTAAATAAAGATTGCTATAATTGCTTGAATGGCTTGAAATATGCAACTTGCAACAATCTCTATGTTCAATTAATTAATGTGCTTCTAAAGTCTTGAAAGTGTGTTTGACGTGAAATAACTTGAGTTTTTTTTTTTTTTTTTTTTTTTTTTTTCAATAGATTAATTTTGTGAGTTCTAAAGTGAGTCCAAAGAATTACCAATGGAGTTGATGCTTGTATAAAGGACTCCTATCCTCATGTCTTACTTCTCCAAAGTGATTTCTAGTCACTCACCTATACAAGACAAAACCACAGATCAATACAAATTTAGTCTCAAATAGCAACTACTTTGAATGACATGAGACCATACTAATAGAGACTTACTTGTTTTATCTACAAGGCTCAATAACTATAGCAACTTTAGTAGCATACTGGTGTAGCTTTCCACATACCCTTATGATTCAAATGTGCTGTAAGTTATCTTTCTATAATTCACCATGTTGCACCTTGGCTTTGTCTCATCAAGACCCTCTTTGTATCCTAACTCATTGGATGTAGGACATTCTACTTACTACCAAGTCTACATGCATTAGTAATACACTTAATTAGGTTTTTTTATTCTTGTAGCCAAGGCACAATATCCACTTGTGTTGTGTCTAATACCTTTGTCACCATCCTTAATTAGAAATGTATTATATCCTCCCTTACTCACTAAACTTAATGTCTTCATCAAAATTAAGCAAGTAATTGAGTCTAGATTCTTGAAAGTAATAAGCTTTTTCTTACTCTTCTTCTTTTCTTGGTGAAGGCATGCTCTCTTTCTTCACTAGCACTTCAATCTTGATTTCCACAATCCTATTCCTCTTACAACCTCATTTTGCCAATGATAAATTTTAGACATTTAAAAGTATCAATTGATAAAACATGTTTTCAACCTATAATAGCTTTCTACTCATGTATCTATTATAGCATCTTTTATGATGGCATTTGTTCTTCCTATTATTAAGAAATCTTATCATGAAATCTATCAAGATGTTGTAAAAGGGCTTTAGTAGAATTGGCAAGGACTTCAAATTGAGGCTATATATTATGCTTGTTTATTTGGTTTTTTATGCACAATTCTATATAGGCCATAACATTAGCCTTTATACAAGGCCAAAATTACTTTGGCTCTAATCTAATAAGAGTGGCCTTTACATCCTTGTATTTCGCCACATGATTGTTGTGGTAGTCTATGAGGAGTCTCTTTCTTAGCTGTCATTTCAAGATATAGAATTATACCTATTTAATGAAATATAGCTCATTTATCCTTCAAAGGTAGCAGATTCTCCTACCACTCTTTGCATCTTCTATTATTTTTTTTGATCCCTTAAAGTCGAAGATGACATGTTATGCAAAGCCTTATTATCGCTCTTCATTGCCTACCTAACTTCTTGCAAAAATATTTCTTCTACTGCTTCAACTCTTTGTATCATAGTCAGGACCTTCAAAGTCATGTATTCATCTTTTTTGCTTAGTGTATTAGGCACCAAGTTATTTTTTCTTGGTTTATGAATGAATTCAACATCCATCAAGACTATAGTATCAAACCATTGAAGTTCTTTTAGTGAAATTTGGATTTTTGAATTCCAATATTTAAGAAAAATATTATCCATGAAGACTTTTGTCTTCATTCTTCTTATATAGTAATGCCATACTTTGAGCAATTCCTCTTTTGTATACAACTCTTTTTCATTCATGGGCTATTTCAATTGGCTTTTAGTCAATTTCTTACTCTCGGAGGTGATGGGGTGCTTATCTGGCATCAAGACTCTTCCAATAGCAAAGTTGATAGCATTTGTATGTACTTCGAAGGGCCTCCTAAATTTTAGGTACTTCAATACTTTGGCCATAAAAAGCAATTCCTTCAATTCCTAGAAGGACTTTTTGTAGTCCTTGTTTTAAAGAATTATTTTGTTGTTTTTTATCAATAAATTTGACAAGGACCATATTGCTTTTAAGATATCTTTTATGAATCTTTGATAGTAGATAACTAGTCTTAGAAATGATGTCACACCCTTTTCACTTTTAAAAACCTCCCATTTTAATATAGTTGGGATCTTTTAAGATTTGAGTGGATGCCTTTGCCATCCAATACATGCATTAGGAGATCCATCTTCATGAGTCCAAATTCACTTTTGTTTACATTAGCATAAAATATATTTTTTCTTAATTTGAGTAGCACTTTACTTACGTCCATGACATGTTGGTGTAATATTTTTGAGTATTCTAAGATATTATTGATGTATACCACCATTCATTTGTCCATCTCTTTGTAAAAGATGATATTCATGATGGTGGTGAATGTAGCCAATGTATTGTATAAGCTGAGAAATATAATTAAAAATTTATATAAACCATATCTGGTTCACATAGTCATTATATATATATATATATATATATATATCTCCTTTATTGATTCAAATTTGGTAGTATTGCAATTTCATATCAATGTAGCTAAAATATTTAGCTCCATCTAACCTATCTAAAAGGTTGTCTATTTGAAACATGGAGTAATTATTTTTAAGTGTCATCTTGTTTAGGACTTGATAATATATATATATATATATATATATATATATATATATATATTTTGATCTTTTTGCTTACAAAGAGTACTAGCACTTCAAAGGTCAATTTACTTATCCTTATATAACCTCTCATTTAGAGTTCATTGATCTACTTTATGAACTTTTAGAATTCAAGTTAATTCAACCAGTATGGAGCTTTGTTTAAGAATTTCAATCCTAGGACCAATTCAATTTTTTGATCCACCTCCCTCTTGGGAGGCAGTTCCAAGGATTACTTATTAGTTTGAATATCATTGAAACTCATCAATACTTGCACTAGGTACAAAAGTGATCTCTAAATAAATAAAATTTTATTTTTAAAAATTATAAGGTCATATAAAATGAATAAAAATTATTCTTCAAAAAGTTCTTCTTCCTTCACAAGGTAGATCTCTACATGACTAATTTCTAGTGATCTATTCTAAAGCAAGGATTTTAGTTTCTAGTCATCCGCAAGCATTATTATATTGAGTTTGGGCCATTTTCTAACTTCCACTCTATAAAAGTTTAAAAAATTATTATCCAATATAAAATCTATTTTTCTAAGTTTACATATTGTAAAGTCTTCCTTGAATCAAACTCCACTAGATTTAAAATACAATTCTTTTGTCATGCTCGATGAGTAGCATTCACCTTATGTAAAACTCGTATTAATAAGTGTTGCAATGAGCTTACTATTTAGTTTTAATCAACTCACCATCATGGGAGTCATGTAACTATTTATGGTACATAGATTAAGCAATATGGTCACATGAGTGTCAAAGACATGAATCTTGAAGAATTAAAAGATCAAGACACTC